CTAAAGCAGCCCATTGCCAACAAAGCAGTGGAGAAACGGAATTTTGTTCAGGACTGGTGGGAGGAAATATCAGCTGGTAGGATCCATAGCTGTAGGACCCATCTGCTGGTAGATAATTTGCTTATTTCTATAAATTACAATAGTATATATACCTTGACCCAGTAATCTTATCTCTGGAATTTGCCTCATAGATACAAGTGCAAAAGTGCAAAATGACAACGCTACATGCTTACTACCTGCAGCATTAATTGTAATAAGAAGAGATTGGAAACAATATAAATGTCCATCAGGAGGTGATATGTTAAACAAATTATGATTCATCTACAACAGAACAATAAGAAGGTGCAAAAAGAGATTGAGAAAACTTTGTCTTGAGATAGAAATATCTTCAAAATATAACAGAGCTGTAATTATATTTTTGTGTAGAATAAAGGAAAATAAAAATATACTTCCATCACAAAATTCTGGCAGAATATGTGCAGATACACAAATTGTTATCTAGGGAGGGAGAGTGGAAGTTAGACGTTTTTCATTGAATATATTTATAGGTAGTTCAATTTTTGAACAGTGTATTACCTACTCAAAAGATGTTTTAAAAACCTTCTTTTGTGTGTATATGAAGCCTCTGTGGAAAATGGTATGCAGATTTCTCAAAGAAAATTAAACCCAGAAATAGCATATTCAGAAATTCCACTCCTAGTATATTCCCAAAATAAGCAAAAGTAGGTACTCGAATGTATATTTGTACACCTAAATTCACAGCAGCATTATTCTCAATAGCCAAAATGTGGAAGGAGCCCAAGTATCTGTGGATACATGAGTGGATAAACAAAATATGGCATACACATGCAATGGATTATTATTCAACCTTAAAAGAAAGGAAAATTTGACACATGCTACAGCATGAGTGAACCTTGTAGGCATTATGCTAAGTGAAATAAGCTAGTCACAAAAGAACAAATGTTGTATGACTTGTCTTACATGAGATACCTAGAGTAGTAAAATTCATAGAGACAGGAAGTGGAATGCCAGGGGCTAGGGGAAGGAAAGAGTGGGAAGTAATTGTTTACTGGGTCAAAAGTTTCAGTTGGGGAAGTTATAAAAACTTTGAGATGGATTGTGGTGAGGGTTAGAACTGTACACTTAAAAATGGTTCAAGTGGTAAATTTTGTTCTGCATGTTTTATGCTTTTTAAAACTCACTTTGTTCAATGATCAAGAGTATTGCCACTAAAAGACCAAACAAAGTATTGAGCACAGGAAATTTTCACTGTATTATTTCTTCATTTTTCAGAGATTGATCGATAAGGTAATTAATGAGTATTTTAGGAGTAAGAAAAAAACGCACCGCTTCGCCCAACGTGGGGCTCGAACCCACGACCCTGAGATTAAGAGTCTCATGCTCTACCGACTGAGCTAGCCGGGCGCAGCTGACTACTTCCCTTTTGCATGTCACTAACAAGTATTAACTTGATGATGCCATTCGGCTGGCGTTCAGTTCCAAGTTTGAAGTTCAAGGCCGGAAACTCAAACTCTGTGGATCGTACCAGGTCCTCCCTTCCACTTCCGTCCGTTTTCTGTTGTCTGTTGCCAATGACCTAGCCCTTTACTATCCGCGGGAAGCTCACGGAGTGAAGAGGAAACGTGCGCATCACCAAGCCTCTGGAGCGCTCACCCTGTGAGTTTTTAATCTAGAGTTAAAAGGCAGAGTCAGGGAATGGGAGTGTGCGAGGTCCGCAGCCGACCCCTCTATGTGGGCAGAACGCCGCGATCTGGGGGTAGTGAGCACAATGCAATGTACAGAAGATGTATTATAGAATTGTACACCTTAAACCTATTGTAATTTATTAACCAATATCACACCAGTAAATTTAATAAATAATTTTTTTTTTGACCTCCACGATCTGAGGGTTTCCCCCAGGGTTATGGGAGCACACTGCATTTCGCAAACAAGAACTAAAAGCAACCACAAAACTACAATGGAGATGCCGGGGATCGAACCCGGGGCCTCATACATGCAAAGCATGCGCTCTACCACTGAGCTACATCCCCTCCTCGCGAGCTCAGCTCTTCTTCTGCTTCCCTAGAAGTTTCCTATAGGCGGGCACCCGTGGGCTGACAGCCTCCTCAGGGCCTGACGTCCCAGAGGCTGCGAACCTGAGGGGACAATGTCGCGAATAGTCTTCTACTAAGTAACTACAGGGGCGCAACTTCGATCGAAGGACGCTGGGGAGAGAACAGGGCCGGTGTAAACACCTGGAGGCGGCGGTGGAAACAGAAGGGGAAGTCATTTGACACGATGCCTCAAATGAACAGTGAGCCGAGAAAGAAAAGTAAAGAAGACCCTATGCTGGATGCTGCGTTTATAAAACAAAAAGAGGGAGGCCTATAGTAAAATATATAATATTTGTATAAAATAATTAATAATTTCTGGGGATGGGGAGCAGACTGGGGTCTAGGCGATAGGCCCTTTTCTCTGTAAACCACTGTCTATCTGAATTTCGAGCCATGTCCAAATTAATTCAATCCAAGAACAGTTTACGGAGCGCCTACTGGGTATCCAGAACTGCTGGAGGAAACGGGTGGTCCAGCGGTGAACACAACTCCCACAGTCCGTCCCCTCCCACAGCTCGCGTTCCGGAGGAAGGACAGGGCTAGACAGAAAACAGAGCCAGCATTGGGCGAGAGAAGGTGGTAAGGTGCGACTGCAAACAGATTTCACTGGAAAAGGGGGCATTTGAAAGAAGACTTGAAGGAGTTGGGAAATGAGTCACACACGTATCTTGGAGGAGAGGCCCAAGGAAAGGGAACAGCCGTGCAAAGGCCCTGAGGTAGGAGCTGTCCGATGTGTTGCAGGAACGTTAACAAGGTGCTTTTGGCAGGAAGGAAACCATAGGCTGGAGTGATGAGAGATGAGTGCGAAGGGGAGGCCTAGTACCAGGGATAGGGATGAAGAACAGGATAAAAATTTACACAACAGCAAAGACTGAGACTGTCCCTCTGAAAGGTGGGAGCCACTGGAGGGTTTGAGCAGAGGAGGGCCATGATTTGACTTAAAAATAACATTGTAACAGAACTATTCACACAGCTGGGTGGAGAAAATAGGGCGGGGGAGTGGGACAAAAGGGGAAAGACTGTTGCTCACTGGAAATCATGCAATGGAGGGAGTGAGAGGCTGAGGACATGCCGACGACTGTGGATGAAGTGTGTATAGTTTTTTTCTCTTGGAGTCACAGAGGACCCCTGCTGCGACCGGTGGGGGGTGGGGTGGAGGTCCCCTAGTGGGGGCGATGGGAGATTAAGAAAGACACAACACAAACAGGTTAAGGAAAAGCAGGGGCCAGGTGGGGTATTGTCCTCTGATGGAGAAACGATGACCCTGAACATGGCCTCCGCGTTTATTTTATAGGGGTTGGTTACATAAAGCTCAAGGACGTTTTGCAGACTTAGGGACACGCTGTGGGCAAAGACTGTTCTGTTCCCAGGCTATCTAAATGATAAAGATGTCTTCTGCGAAGGTTACAGTCACATTCAGCTGAAGCTCGAGGTTATCTAATTCCTTCTCAACCCCCACGGGTTCTGGCTGTCCTCAGCTGCTGGCTTGCTCCGCTTTGCAGATGCAAGCAGTCCAGTGTGGCTTTGCCAAACACTTAACCTGTGCTTTCACATCAGCCTTCACCGTCCTCCACAGACTCCCTTGTTTTGTCCTGAGCACCTGGAGAGATGGAGATGCTGTTAAATGGAGTGGAGTGGGGAAGGCTGTGGGAGGAACACATGGTGGGGCAGACCAGAAGTAGAGTTGTGGACACCGTGAGTGTGTGATGCCTCTTAGAACCGGCAGGTGAAGCAGCTACACTGGAGTTGGATGTAGAAGCCAGACATCCTAGGGCTCCTGGGCTGGGGTTATGTTATTGTGATGTCAGCAGGAAAAGTGTCATCCAGGCCTGTAAAGTGTAAGAGATCAAAAGGGACTGAATATAGACAGAGGTCCAAGGACTGGGCCTGATAGGGAGAAGAGATGAACGTAGTGAAACTGCAAAAGACACCTGTGTTCGGGCTGCCTGTCATTACCAAACCCAATAAGCAATGACAGCAATTGAACATCTATGGGAGCTTTATTCTGATGGCCAGAGATCTGAGAAAATGGCAGCTTCATACCCTAACAGACCATCTTTTCTTTTCCTTCCAGACCAAGGTTTTTATAACAGGGAATAAACAAGGTGCGATGAGGGGTTTAGAAGTTCAGGGAGGGTTAGGTGAAAGAAACTGCAACATTCCTGTCCTGGGCAGTTAGCTGTTCCCTGCGACTGTCCCTCTGAAAGGTGGGAGCCACTGCAGGGTTTGAGCAGAGGAGGGCCATGATTTGAGCAGGGGCGGGTGGTGCCTGTCTCTCCCTGGAACACATGGCCCAGAAGCCTCCACTTGTCCCCAGGTGGTGACCTTTAGCAGTGCCCCAGGAGGTCGGCTGTTTTCCCAGGAGCCAGGATGGGCCTTATCTATAGTTTCTGAAACAAAAGCTTTAGCCATATACATTACTTATGAGGCTGATAACTTTTTGCCTTAAACTAAAATTTTCCAGCTCTTGAGTCCCCTATCAGTAGCAGGCTGTGGAGCTGGGGGGAATGCTGAGAGAGGGTGTGAGGAAGGAGGAAACAACAGAAGAGAGGGCAGATGAGGTGAGGCCTTAGAAGGGGCCTTTGCCTTTGAGTTAGGATCGCTGAGGTCACTGGTGACTTCCAAAACAGCATTTCAGAAAAGGGTGAGGGTGAAAGTTTGACTCCAGTGATCTCTGGAGGGCATAAGGAGAAAGGGGATGGAAGCAAATAATACTAGCAGCTTTGGAGTGGGGCTGTGGGAATAAGCTGGAGGAACATAGAGGACTGGGTTTTATTTGGAGGCAGAGGAATAACACCGAGTAAACTACGAAATTTTATTGTAAATGTGTTATTTGTTAAAAAAAAACACAAAGAATAAATAAGGGGGAGGGGGCTATCGCTGGAAAGGTAGCTACAGAGGTTGATAGAAGGCCACACCTCGGTGTGAGGGGGCAAGAGCTAGGGTCCAGACTCCAAATTTAGCTCGGCACAGAGCTGGGACAAGCCCGCACGCCGGCAACCTGATACTGTGGCCCGGACGCCAGACCCTTGCCCAGTGCTGGGTCGGCCTCAGACAGCAGCCGGGAGTGGCGGCCAGCTGGGCATGTGTGCCCACCTGTCCCGGCCCATTACCCACAACAGCTGACTGGGTCAGGCTAGGGAGGCCTGGACCCGCCCGTGGAGGGCCTGAGCAGGGGGCGACGGAGAGAGGGCGCTGCGGGCCAAGGCCGGTGATTGAGGGGTCCAGAAGCGGGGCGCAGAGCTCTGGGCCTCACTTGGATCCACTGGCTGCGCCGCCTGGCGCGCCTTCCACGCGCACCTACCCGGCGGGTTTCCCAGCCCGGCGCTCCCTCAGTGCCAGTCTCCGCCCGCCCGTGTTGTCAGCCGCGCCCTTCCTTCCCGAGGGCGCCGAGAGGCCCGCCCCGGCCGCAGCGCTCCCAGCGGCGCACTGTCACGTCCCTGGCCTCCCCCGGGCCACCAGACTTCGGTGCGCTGAGTGTTCGCATGGCGGCGGTGGGGCCGCGGACTGGCCCGGGCTCTGGGGCCGAGGCCTTGGCACTGGCGGCAGAGCTGCAGGGCGAGGCGACGTGTTCCATCTGTCTGGAGCTCTTCCGAGAGCCCGTGTCCGTCGAGTGCGGCCACAGCTTCTGCCGCTCCTGCATCGCGCGCTGCTGGGAGCGCCCCGGCGCGGGGTCCGCCGCCGTCCCCCGCTTGCTGCCTTACCCGCTCCCCTGCCCGCAGTGCCGCGAGCCAGCGCGCCCGAGTCAGCTGCGGCCCAACCGGCAGCTGGCCGCCGTGGCCACGCTGCTGCGGCGCTTCAGCCTGCCCTCCGCTGCCCCGGGCGAGCGCGGGACCCAGGAGGCGGCGGTGGCGGCGGCGACTGGGTGCGCGCAGCACGGCGAGCCACTCAAGCTCTACTGCCAGGACGACGGATGCGCCATATGCGTGGTGTGCGACCGCGCCCGCGAGCACCGCGAGCACGCGGTGGTACCGCTCGGTGAGGCTGTGCAGGAGGCTAAGGTGAGCGCCGGCCCCACTCCTGCGGGTCCCCGAGACCCCGCGTCCCCTCCTGCCTTCCCGCGCACGCAGTGCAGATGACCCGCAGGCAGGCAGACAGGAGGATCAGGGGAGCCCCTGTCTCTTTTCTCTTGCTCAGCACTAGCTCCGGGGCTGAGTGTGGCTGTCCCTCTGTCACCCCCATACCACCGATACCCCCGAATCCTCCTCTAGGCTGGACAGCCTGGGCGATGTCCCACAGGCTTGGCGATTTTCGTTCCGTCCGTCCCCGTCCTCTAGCGGCGACTTGGGCAAACTCACACGCCCGCTGCCCCAACTCTCAGCTCTTTCCCCGAGCCGGACGACCTTCCCAAGAGGTCGGGAAAGGGTGGGTGGCTCCAGGGTTGAGGAGAGCAAGGAGACAGCCGTCTGGGCTGTTTCAAGGCTGTCGATCCTAGGCTCCAGACTTTCCTGCCTCCTTGCTGGGGCCTCAGCTGAGGTGTGTGGAGGCCTCTAGCACACAGTCCCATCTTTCTTCGCTTCCTACGCTACTCCAATCCTTCCATACAGAGGGATATCTGATGGTGGGGAGGAGAACAAGGGAGAAGACAAGCTATTCTGGGCAGCTGGGAGTGGGAGGAGCCTGTATTTCAGCCCGAATGGTGCACTGGTGGTCTTGGGGAAGTGAGACGCTTGGGCTTTTGGAGTTGCCCTGAAGTTGTCCTGTCCCCTTATGTGAAGTCCGAGCAGGCTGTTTCCATACTGTCCAGAGATGGCTTCAACCTGGTCTCCTCGATGTGCAGGGCCTCCCCTTGCTCTTGGATGGCTCCTGGAAGTCACCGGGGTTTCCAGAGTCCTCTCTACACAGTATCTCCCTTCTCATCCTCTGGCAGGAGCTCCTAGAGTCCAGGCTGAAGGTCTTGAAGAGTGATCTGGAGGACTATGAGATGTTTCGTTCCACGGAAGAGAAGGAGGGCAAGGAGCTCCTGGTGAGTGGCCACCCCACCTCCAACAACAGAGGGCCACCCACCATCCTGGCTCTGTCTGGTGTGTGGTGTAGGAGTGTGTGCCAGCAGAATAACAAGGGTGGATTATAGAAAGATAATAGGATGCATATTATAGAGGGTGAATGTATCCTTTATTAAAAACCAGAGCTTTTTAAAAAAGACTATTTTTAGAGATACAGGAAGGGAGGCAGAAAGAGAAGGAAAGAAACATTGATGTTTGAGAGGAACATAGATCGGTTGGCTCCTCCCACGTCCCCAAGTAGGGACCTGGCCCACAACTGAGGCGCCTGTCCTGACTGGGAATCAAACTGGCAACCTTTTCATTTGCAGCCAGTCTTTCAACCCACTGAGTCACACCAGCCAGGGCAAAACCAGAACTGTTAAAAGTCAATGGAAGTGCTAAAATAATCCTTCTAGAACAGTTGGCTAAAACTGAAACTGTCCCAGTGAATCAGGATATATGATCATTTTAACAATACATGACACCCCAATTAGGGCCTTGGAGCATCTTGTAATTGAATGCAAGTGAAAACATAAATACAGTAAATAGCTTCATGTTAGCCCAGGGCATTTTTGCCACCAAAAGAGTTATGAAAAAACTTTTTTTCATTTTTAGAGTTTTTTTAGGTTTTGAAATCGGGCCAAGGGTAAGGAAGTTTAGAGGGTGTCAGAACTGCTGAGGGCAGGAGGTCTGGCGACGGGTTTCCAGCAGCCCCTGCTGCTAGCCCAGTGTGCCCAGCGCCCCCTGGTGGGTAGGAATGCTATTTTGTCCTCTTTACAATGGATCACGGAAGTGAAATGGGGCTCATTTTGATTAAGATGGGCAACGTGGATCACGGACTGTAATTTTCTACCTCGCAAATTCAGTCCTTTGCTCAATAAATGGGTGTTAAAAGAATGAAAGGAACTACTAGGGTCTGTTAGGACAGGGCCAGTCAGTTTTGGAGTTGGGAATTGCAGGTACTTGAGGACTCTTCTGTCCTCAAAGTTGAGAGAGGGTGGTATGGAGGGGAAAACCCTGAGTTCAGGCGTTCCTTTCCTGACCTTCAACTGCACCTGGTTCCAATGTACAACTGGTCATTCACTTCCCTCCCCACGGAAGAGCTAAACACTCATCTCCAGACTTCCACCCTGCCCTCCTGGAGAAAGTGTTAATCATGTGGTTCTTCCATCCATGACCCAGAGGGACTCCCACAGCGTGGCAGCTTCATGGTGGGACCCCACCCACCATGACACTGCTTAGCCCCTTCCACTCAGTCCTAGGCCAATTCACCACCCCTCTGGCCCACACGTGGTTTAGAATTACAAAATACATGCTTAATGAAACAATAGAGGTGGAGGACAACCCTTGTTGCATGATAACAAAGAGAATGAATACTTTTATTAAAAAATGCTCTTACTCTTTAGGAGTGCTTCTCAACTGGGGGCAATTTTGGCCCTCAGGATGTTTGGCAATGTCTGACGATATTTCCCACTGTCAATCAACACTTGGGCAGAAGTGCTACTGGCATTTAGTGGTAGAGGCCAGGGTGCTCAGATTAAGCATCCTCAACGCACAGGACAGCCCTCCACCACGAAAAATTATCTGGTCCCAAATGTCAGTAATGCAGAGGTTGGGAAACCCTGATTTAGAGTATTTTGGCTAACATTGTTCCACTTGTGTTATTACCTTGGGAAACAGTATGATAAAATTGCAAGAAATTCAGATTCTGAGGTCAGACTCTCCAGATTAGAATCCTGGCTTCCCACTTACTGGTGATGTGAACCCACCTCATTGGTTTGAGTGACTTAACTCACGTGAAGCGCCCCAGGCTGCAGCTGCCTGCTCGCCCAGTGTCCTGGTGATGAAGGCCCTGGGGGAGCTGTAGCCTGAACCTAGGTTTCCTGACCTCAAAATCCACTCACAGTCTCCTCTTCCAGCCATCCTTTAAACCTTAGAAGTTTTAAGAAGAGGAACTGTGACAGCAGAGCTTGTCCTGGAGGAACAGAATCCTTCTCCCTTCTCATTAGCCATGGAAGGCCTTGCTTGTTATGTCATGTGCGGTCCCTCCCACATACTCATGTAAAGAATCCAAGGACCAGGAACATGAGCCTGTGTCTGGAAACACAGGAGTGAAAAATCCTGTGGGTAATATAATGGAAATAATAGAATATGAAGCCTGCACACAACATAGTCTCACTTGGGTCATGTGGATGTGCTGCTACCTCTGGTCACTGGTGTTATTTTCCTTCCTTCTTGCAATTTTTCTGCAACTCCCAGATTATGTATAATGAGCATGTGTTATCTTCATGGCTGCTAAAGAGAAATGGTGCTCTAATATGAAGTAAAGTGAGGAGTGGAAGTAGGAGGGCAGATGAGTGTTAAAAAAATTCAACTTAGTGCATTTTAAAGGTCTTACTGGCTTTATTCAGTGACTGATGAATTACTAATGTAACAGATAGAAAAGATCCCTAAAGAGCTGTATAAGGCAAGATATTTTATAAGCAGAGAAAGCAGGAACAAGGAAATTGCAAAAAAACCTGGACTGATTATTGCAAGGTTACTTTCCCTATAGGGGATGGCAGATTGCTGAACAAAGGCAATTCCTGATTGGCTGGTTTAAGATTCCATTTCTGGGAGAGCAGAAACTATAATGAAGTCTGGTGATGTGGGTCTGGGCATAAGTGACTCCATTTCGATAGTGTTTTCTTGAATTTAACACATAATAAATGAGTTTGGAGAAGGGAATGTGACCTCAGTTTAATCTTTATAGTGGCCCCAGGAGGCACTGAGTCATTCCTGCCACTTTTCAAATGAGGAAACCATTGCCCTGAGTAGTTCTCAGGCAAGTTTAAAGTTGCCCTATGTTGGTGGGAGAGCCCAGGTACAAAGGAACATGTGGCCACATCTGTGACTGGAGAAGCAAGAACATGTGTTGAAGCTGCTATGAGCTCAGAGTTGGAATATTTAAATTAGAGCCTGCGCAGAGTGTGCACCTGTGGGTGACCCTGTGACCTCTGAGCAGTGTGGTGGATGGAGCCCTGCCCTGTGGGATGGCTCCAGGCTCCTGTCCAAATGCCAAGTCTTGATGCCCATGTCCCCTCACCTCTCCAACTTCTCCTCTCCTGAGACAGAAGCAGATGGCTGCTGAGCGAGAGAAGGTGGGGGCCGAGTTTCAGGCACTGCGGGCCTTCCTGGTGGAGCAGGAGGGCCGACTCCTGGGCCGTCTGGAGGAGCTGTCCCGGGAGGTGACACAGAAGCAGAATGAGAACCTGGCTCAGCTTGGGGGCGAGATCACCCAGCTATCCAAGCTCAGCAGCCAGATCCAGGAGACAGCACGAAAGCCTGACCTTGACTTTCTCCAGGTGAGTCTGGCTACCCAGGACTTTTGAGTCTTTATCCTAAGGCGCTGTGAAGGCAGTGAGAACAGAGTCAGATCCTGAGAATTTAGTGGACTCACAAAATCTGGAGCCGAAAAGGACTGGAGAGAGGTGCCCTGATTCTCCTGGGATTAGAGGTCTAAAGAGCTATGATAAAACTTTCCTAGCCATGAGTAACAATAATATATCCTACATCATATTTCAGTGTATATGTACTTGAGACAAAAGTCTTCGAAAATAGCACCTTTACCAATGTGATGCACTTTGATATTTTCTATTCTATTTTATTTCATTAAAAAAATAGTAACAATCTACTATCACAAATGGGTCAAGAACAGTCATATAAAAGACACTGGTCGGAATGAGCAGTTGCTGCATAAAGGCTATAACTTGTCTCTACGGTACAGAGAGCAGAGACAACCCTAGGCCCCAGCATGTGGCTCCAGTGATGATTCTGTAATGACAGGAGCATTTGCAGACTGTGGGCAGGTAGGGGTCTGCCATGTTGACAAGAAACCCAGCTGCCACCACAGTGGGAAGACCTTGGCACCAGGGCCCACACAGGCAGCAGATAAGCAGAGACACCTGCGTATTACTTGTTTCTCTGGAAGTGGGGCAGGGTGCGGTTGTATTTTTTTCAAAGGTGTTGATTTGGTTTGCTTTCATCTTTCTTTTCAGGAATTCAAAAACACAATAAGCAGGTGAGTGGACCTGAGTAGTTCCTTGGCCTCCTCTAAGCTGGTTCTTTTTTTCCACTGCGTGCTCTCTTCATTTTCCTCCCCCAGCTTCTTACCTTCTGATTCCCCACTGCCCTACCTGGTACCTTCTGAGGCAGCCGTCCCGTCCATCGGCCTGATCATGGTTATGGGCATCAGATCAGGTTCTCCTCTTCTGCCTCTCTCCATCAAGAGGACCCCACCATCCTAACTGTGGGAGTGGGACAGTGTTGGTGGGCCTTCCTCCTTGTCCTGCAGGTGCAGCAATGTGCCTGCCCCCAAGCCAAGCACAGTCTCTTCTGAGATGAAGAATAAAGTCTGGAATGTTTCCCTCAAGACCTTTGTCTTAAAGGGGCTGCTCAAGAAGTTCAAAGGTAGGGCCCATGTGTGGGGGGCTGGGCCGTGAGATACCAGTGGCAGTGGTGTGGCTCTGGTGATTTGGGGTCCAAAGATGTGCCTTTTCAGAAGCTGTGTGAGAAGACCAGAGCTGGGGTGTGTGGTGGCTAATTTATTTAGGTGCCCCCAGGGCACAAAGTTCCCCTGGGGGCAGACAGAATAGAGGGACACTGGGGACAGAAAGAGGGGTGAGGAAGGAGATCTCAGCTCTGACCAGCACCAGGGCAAAGCTGGACAGGGAAAACTAGACTACTGCCTCTCCAGCCCCCACACTGGGCCCAGTGCCCCTAGCCTATCTGGGGTGGTAAGTGAGCCACTGGGGCCATGAATATGTCAGAGGAGATGATGTCCCTGCCATGGCCAGAGAGACAATCTCCTGTCATTCACACACACCCTGCTTTGTTTCTCCTCCTCAGAGGATCTTCGAGAAGAGCTGGAGAAAGAGGAGAAAGGTACGACGATTGTGCTGATAGCGAGAGCAAGCCCGTTTTTGGCTATGTAGAGAATTCCCTTCCTGCTGGTGACTGTGTCTATGGGCTTTGAGTGTGGTTGCTTCCTTCTGCCTGCCGACCTCCTCAGCCCTGCCCCCTCCCCCCCTCATCTCAAGCGCTGACTCCCTCAGGCCACAGTGGGGCCTGTAGACTTACTGTCCACAGCAGGAGTGCCCTGTGGCTTAGGATACTTAGATTGGTGAAGGCTAGTTGGCCTCTCTCCCCTGTCCTCTCTCCCAACTGAGACCTCACGCTGAGACCTCTTCTGGGGACTGGGGCTGTGTGCATGGGGAGGGCTGAGGGGAAGCTGGAGGAATCTGAGGACCAGGTAGGAGGTGGTTCTTACTCTTGCAGAGCTCTGGGGTGAGTGGGATCCAATGCCATTAGGAGGGCTAAGCCGTAAGGAGGGCTAAGTCAGACTTTTCTTGGGCAGAATCTAAACCAGCTGGGCAAGACCATGCCCCTCCTCGGCTGGAACCCTGCACCAGGCCCTCTCACTCAGTGAAGGCTGCACTTCTCACAGTGATCTTCCAGGCCTCAGGGGGTCTGGCCTCACTGCATCCCATGCCCCCCCCGCCCCCCCCGCACTCTGCTCCTCCTGGAATGCACCAAGCACACACCTGGGCCTGGAACATGCTTCACCAGACAACGCCTATCTGGTTTCTTTTTTTAAGATTTTATTTATTTATTTTTAGAGAGGGAAGGGAGGGAGAAAGAGAGAGAGAAACATCAATGTGGGGTTACTGGGGGCCGTGGCCTGCAACGCAGGCAAGTGCCCTGACTGAGAATCGAACCTGCGATACTTTGGTTCGCAGCCCATGCTCAATCCACTGAGCTATGCCAGCCAGGGCTATATCTGGTTTCTTCACCTTCTGTATGTCTTTGCTTAAGTGCACCTATTCAGCCAGGCCTTCCCTGGGCCTTCTAGTTGAAATCACAGCCTGCTGTCCTGATCACCTCTTATCTTCTTCTTTTTTTATAAATCACATATTGTCTATTCTCCCCTCCCCTGTGAAAGGAAGATTCAGTGGAGCTGGGACTTCCAGGGCCTAGCATAGGCCTGGAACACTGCGGTGCTTACAAGTGTGCTTTTTTGAGCTGTTTAGTGTGGAAAACACTAAAGTAGAGAGATGAGCATAACAAATATTATGTACTCATCATATACCCTCGGTAATCTTCACTCACACTCCTACTCATTTCTCCTCACTGGATTATTTTGAAGCAAACCTCAGATATCATTTCCATAAATATCTCAGTATTTGATTTCTAAAGAGATAGACTTTGTAAAAAAAACAACCACAAAACCATCAAAATTAGGAAAAATTGATGATTCTTTCTAGTACCTAAGTGTTTGACATTCCTCAATTGTCTTTTCCATTGGATTTGCCCATGTGTTTGAACTGGGATTCAAATCAGGTCCATACATTGCATTTGTTTGATTTCAGCAGGTACATTTTGGGAGGGGCCGGTGGGAATAAGGAGTAGGGGCTGTGCAAGGGGCCTGCCTGGGCCATCTCTCCCTGTCTCCCCCACTGCAGTGGAGTTGACCTTGGATCCTGACACTGCCAATCCCCGCCTCATCCTCTCTCTGGATCTTAAGAGCGTGCGCCTTGGACAACGAGCCCAGGACCTGCCCAGCCACCCGCGTCGCTTTGATACCAACACCCGAGTGCTGGCGTCTTGCGGCTTCTCCTCTGGGCGGCACCACTGGGAGGTGGAAGTGGGCTCCCAGGATGGCTGGGCCTTTGGCGTGGCCCGTGAGAGCGTGCGACGCAAGGGCCTCACACCCTTCACTCCTGAGGAGGGCGTGTGGGCGCTGCAGCTCAATGGCGGGCAGTACTGGGCTGTGACCAGCCCTGAGCGGACACCCCTCAGCTGCGGCCACCTGTCCCGTGTGAGGGTGGCGCTGGACCTGGAGGTGGGGGCCGTGTCCTTCTACGCCACTGAGGACATGCGCCACCTCTATACCTTTCGTGTCAAGTTCCAAGAACGTGTGTTCCCCCTTTTCTCTGTCTGCTCCACTGGCACCTACTTGCGAATCTGGCCTTGAGGGACATTGCAGGCCTCCCAGAGAGGGGGCAGTCAGTCAAGGGCGAACGCATTCTCCTGGCTGCCCATGGGAAGGAATGCTGTTCTCCACCGGAGCTGCCTGGTCACCTTGGGTCTGCCCTTCCCTCTCCTGCCACAGGTTGCCTTAGAGAGGCTTCTGGAGACCCAGCCGCAGAGGCATGAGACTGCAAGGTGGGAAAGAAGCCCCTGTGTTCAACCAAGCAGAGGAAGGGATGCTTTGGATCCCCAGGCCTGTCCCCTACCTGTTGTTCTGGCATGCAGATTTGGTACCAGCTGTGAGGAGGTGGAGGCCTATGAGCGCTGGAGCCCCATGTTGACAGGGGTGCTTCCTTTCACTGGGGCTTACTGCCTAGACTCAGCAAGACCTCTGGCTCCCTGGAACAACACCAAACCCTGGTCCTGTGCTGTCTCAGTTCCAAGGGCAATGTTTGGGGCCAGGCCAAGTATGTTCATGATCACTTCTGTTTTGCCTTCTTGTCAACTGTCAGCTCTGGCTTCAGAGACCTGAATCCAGCTGGTCTGACCAATCGTCCACTCAGGGAGGAGCCTCCCAGCTCCGAGGACAGTCTGGGTCAGAGCTGGAAGGAGACCCTTGACCTGTGCATGAGGGAACAGCTCCAGACAACATTCTGTAGGCATGGCTACCCTCTAAGACCCCTAAACTGATGATACAAAGTGATATGTCCATCCTTAGCCACAGTGATAACCACGTGTTCTCACAGATACCTAAATCCCTCTCAAGTGCCAAAGTACAGTCTTTCTGGGTAAGGAGACCAAAGGTTCTGGAATTTTGAAACACAGGAGAGCACATATAATTTTACAAATGTAACTAACACAAGCATGGAAATGCAGAGCACAAACATGCCCCTGACAGATTCTTTCTGGAACTTGCCAAATGTATGCTAACAGCAGAGGACCCTGGTGCCAAGGCTAGCTTGGCCTGTGCCCTGGTGGTTGCTATCACCTTGGCTAATTGTTCACCAGCTTCTTTTAGGCTAGGCTTCTGGGAGGGCGGTAGTAGGCTCTTCCTTGCTTAGTGCTCCCCAGGGAAGGGAGATGGAAATGGAAATACAGATTGTGAGCTCATTTCTACAGTGGCTTAGCTCATTCTTGACTTTCCCAGTCTGAGTGCAAGAGCACAAGTATGAGCAGGGAGTTCTGCCAGCCGAGGTGAGCAAGTGTGCTTCTGTGTGTGAGAAATGCACACACATGTGTTTATATCAGATTGTGGGGGCAGAGGGATGTGTAGATCTTGGAGGGGGCATGTATGAGCACATGCATAGGGTTTAGGTGTTGAAACAGACCTAGTGCAATTAGGTTATACCCTATTATTGACTTGTGGTTAAGTATTAGCCACCCCATAGTTAGGTGATGGCCTTAGGTTTCCAACCCCACTAATTGGCTGCTTGGCTAGATGAAAGCCAGTTTCAGACCTAATTCTATCCTGCCTAGGTTGTTATGCAGATGCAGGGACAGTGACAGTCAAGTAGCCTGGCCTGCAAGAATCATGGAGCTTTAGTGCTCTGTCCCTTAAGGTGTTTCAAGCACACTTTGCATACAGGGTTCTTCTAAGGCAGGCATGGCACTGTTCTGGAGGCGAGCCGAGTGCACACAGCACCGGGCCATCGGAATCCAGTGTCCTACAGACTGGGGACAGGACCATTTAAGAGTTTAGCCTACAGCAGCATTCCAGAATGTGAATTCTATGCCCTGTTCATACATGAAATGTAGCTCTAGAACACTGTAGCCAGTCAAAGTATTTGACTACTACTGAATTCCACAAGGAAAACTCATTTTAACATTTATTTGTTAATTAAATGGCCTTTTGTTATCATCAAGCCCTAACTTTTTCTGGAATTGTATGACTTTTAAACTAGATATTACAATTATTCTTTATGTCATCTAGCAACTGTGCTAAAGTATTGTAACACATATTATGGGTCACAGAAGGTAGGGTGACTGGTGGGGCCCTGTAGGGCCAGGTCTGGGGACTGCAGGCATGGCTGTCTGTGTATATATTTTCATTTCAGCTTTTGTGTTTGTGAGTCTGTAAGAGTTTGTAGAACTACCGGTACAGAGATAGCTGTATATCTGAAGAGCTGCAACAACAGTTACCTAACAGCTGCATGTGGAGGATGAGAGAGATGTTCTCTCTTGGTCACCAGGACAGCACGGTGACTTTGGGTGTCACAATGCTGGTGTAAAAGTATGTGTGCATGTCTGCATTTTTCTCTCCCTTCCTTTGGGCATCATAAGGTCTCCGAGATCTCTGGGCCTCTGAGAGCAAATACTGGCCTAACTTCGGCTCTTCTGACACCACCCATTAGTCCCAGATCCTTGTGAGCTGCAGAGTGGTGAGAATCCAGGTTCTTGCCGCTAGACTCTCACACAGCTAGCTCCTCCGTGCCCCAACTGGGTGTCCCCTAGGGGCCTGCTTTTGGCTTGGCCATCCAGGGACCAAAGTCATTGGGCCTTGTAGGCTGATTGGGCAACCAGGCCAAACCTACCACCTACAGCTGCCACTTAACTGACCATTGCAGGGCTAGGGCTCCTGTCCCTCACCTGAGCTCTCGCCCTCTCTCCCTGCGCTCGGCCCCATGGGCCCTGTGACAGAACAAGTTCCCCAAGAGTCCAAGGTGGACCCTAAAGGTTGCCTTTTCCTAATTTGCTTAACGGAGCGTTAGGGGCTAAGGACCCTGGGCCCAGACTAAGTCCCTGGCCCAGCACTTCCTCACACCCATGCACTCTGATTTCTCCACCACTCTCTCTCAGCTTCTCTCTCCTGATCCTCCCTACTGCTCCCTCACGGCCAGCCTACCTTACCAGCCCCAGGCCCTGGATTTCCCTTAGGAGAGGCACAGTGACATCCTTCCCTTAATTCTTCCCTCGCAGCCTTGACAGAGCACTGCGACCCTCGCACGCAATAAGCCGCAGGCCCTGCTCTCAACGGGTGTGACCCCGCAGAAGCGCGGAAGTCCGGGACCTCCGCATGGATCCGCCCACCGGACGCCCGGCCCTCACAGGCTCAGCTTACTAGCTAAACGCGGGCCTTCCCCTGTGGGGCTCTCTCCCAGGATCCGAGGCTCCGCTTGCAGCACCAACACGTACAGACGCTACAGGCTAAGCCGTGGCGGCTCGGCTGGGCCCTCCAGGGCGCAGGAACGCGGGCCCTAACTGTCAATTGCTTAACTTGACAGGAAAGTTGTCTGCAGCTGTACGAAGACTGGTTCACATCAACTACTTGTGTGCAGAACTCAAACCGGCAGCTGGCTCCATAGCTCAGGGGTTAGAGCACTGGTCTTGTAAACCAGGGGTCGCGAGTTCAAATCTCGCTGGGGCCTGTTCTCGGCTCTTTTTAATTTCCTTTTTTCCCCCCCTCCCCCCTTCCACTTTAAACTGTAAGGTGGAAAACTGCAAAATGCGTAAGCCAACACAAATTCTCCCTTTCGGGGAGGCCAGTCCCTGGTGAAGCTTCCTGTTCTTCGCCCTACAGGTGTCAGCCGCCCATCGCTTATCTTTGGAAGAGCTGTACCTAATGCGTCCTTGGCCCTGTGATCACAGGCTCCGGGGCTCCGCGCTCCTTCTCCCCCATGACCCCTCTCTCGATTCCTTCTGCGCACGTTCCTGGCGAGTTCGTGGAGGGTCTTTCCGTTTCCCTCCTGGGGCCAGGGACGGGGGCAGGTCTTTCATTCTTTCTTCTTAGCTGAGTGGGGGTACACCTGGTAAGGTCCCCTCCTGCCCCCTGGGCACCTACTGCTTTAGCTGGGAGGGTGACTAAAAGTTCCGTTGGCCCTCGCAGTCTGGCTTCCACATATGAGGTGGCCTTCCCGTAGGGCAGGCACACAGGGGTCGATGAATCCCGGGAGCCCGGGGCCTAAAGTGGGGGGAGGGAAGCGGGTCCCCACTCCTCCTCGCACCCCACCTACTCCATCCACCCCCTTCTCCGGAGTCTACACAGGTTTCCGCGAGTGATTCTCTCCTCTGGTACACCAGACCTGGGTTCTGTTTTCTATCCTCGAGCCGCGCTAGAACGCTCTTCCCACCCCCGGAATCAGCGGTGTCCCCACGTGGGGCTGCAAGTCGCTCAGAGCTTTTCAGAGGGTCCACTTTGGCTGGAGAGAAGGCTCCTGCGGTCTGGGGTCGTGCCTGCGAAGGCCGCAGCGGGTGGGCGCCCGAGAACTGCCTGCCGGGCAGTTACTCCATTGTTCACTGGGGATTTAGGCTCATTTTGTACATTTGACTTCGTTAACAGCATAAATAAATAAATAAATAAATGAATAAATGTTAGAAGGTCATCAGGTATTAGTTGTGTGGGGGGTTTTGCTTGTTTGGCTGTTTAAAAGAAAAAAAAAACGTGAATAGTAAAAAACCCAAAAAGCTCAAAGCGAATATGACACATTTATAGCCTTTAGGTTGGAAGTCACGGATGTGAATGATTATTTGCACTTTTCTTTAAATAATTGCCTGGAGAAGAGAAGCAATAAGAAGCCTGCAACACGGAGGCGGAGAGCCAGGAGTGCCCACCTTACTTTTAGTGAACCCGAAGGGGCGCACTAGCCTCCAGGTCCCTCAGGAAGAGACCCAGAGCCGGAGCAGACGGCGCAGAGGGCTTGTTACTTCTGTAATAAGCCGTGGGGTTATGGGGTCCCTCCGTATTCTTTGGATTCTTTGCCCACCACCAGGGAATTGGAATTACGGCTCTCAATGCCAGAGTTTGGTGAAAAGGAAAGGAACAATTTATTTAAAATTTATAGATTTAGAATAATAACTTAATGTCTTTGTTAAAATCCCAAAGTACCTTAAAACACCCCAAAACTGTCATTCCTTCCCCGCTTTGCCCAGTCAGGCCAATCAGGGGTACCCTATTTCGTGGGGGGGTGGGAAGTGGGAGTCAGAGGCTCAGCTAGCTCGGGGTTCTTCTCAGTAATCCGAGCTCAGCTGGCAGTCCTCTCGTGGTTCCCAACACCATCAGCTGTGTGTCCTGATTTCCAGTTCTTAATCCAAACCCATGTGGCACCTTCTCATGGCCCACTAGCAAGAGTCCTTTTGTTACAGAACAACGGGGTGGGGGGTGGGGAAGGCAATATACTATTCTCTGAAAGGAACCCCCAGGTTCCTTATGTCCGCGGCCTTATAGGAAAGACATCTCTCAATGCCAGAGATTCGTGAAAAGGAAAGAAAATGTTTATTTAATGCTATAGTCTTAAAGTAGTGACCTAATGTCTTCATCAAAATTCCCAAGTCCCTTAAAACACCCACAACCACACACAGTCCTTCCTTCCCCCTTTGTCCAGTCTGGGGTGTCCGTATCTCAGGAAAAGAAATAGAACTCCAGGGCCCAAGCAGCCCCTGGTTCTTCCCAGTAACCCCTCTCGGCTGGTAGGCCTCCCTGGTTGCCGGCATCATCAGCTGTGTTCCTGGGATCTCTGCTAAAGCTGGGTGGTGGTTCCTCCTTTCTAAAGCTATGGGGTCCCCACTCTGGCAAAGTCACGTGGCTCTCCTTTATATTGCCACAGCTGCATGGTCCTCTCTGCACAATGGCCGAGGGAGACCCCACTCCCCCAAAACTGCATGGTTCTCCCTGCAATGGCTGCCGCGTCTGGGTTTTTAAATCCCCGGGGCCAATCTTCCTCTGCAGCCCCATTTCTGACTCCTCCCACAATTGCCTACACTTGCCAACACTTCCATATCCTTTCAGCTTTACTGGGCTGCCATCGTGAGTCTGGGCAGGTGTGGCCCTATGTCATGGAGCCAATCTTCTCCAATCTCTCATGCAGGTGCTGTAACTCGGGGGACCTGCCCCCAAGTTACGTCCTGGTGGGGAAGTTACTTCCATTCCCCTGGCTCAGAGCCTGGCCACAACTATTTACATGTCTGTGCAACCAGTTAAAGGTTATAGATATGTTAAATGACCATGCCAGAGATTAGCTGTTGTTTTGCAAAGCTGTTGCTATGCAAAACAGCTCTCAATGGCCCTGTTCTATTTGTCCCTTCCCCCAACTCATACCTGAAGGGGAAGGGGTGAGGACATCTTAGTATTTCCTGGACACCTTGAGTTCTGGACCCTATTCCAAATCCCTATTTGCCCCCCCCACTCTTGGCCACACTCTGTAACACTTTCACCCCTTTCCTTCCTGCATTGTCTCTCCTGCGTTATTCCCAACCGCTAAGAGAGAGCTCTGTATGTCTTGATTCCCTGCTCTCTGAGCCGATGGTGAAGAACCCCCAAAATCCTGTGGTTAGCCTGGGCCTGGGTTTTAACCCCCATGCCAATCTTCCTCTGCAACCCCATTTCCGACTCCTCCCACAATCGGCTACACCTGTCAGAACTCCCATATTTTTCCAGCCTTTCTTGGCTGCCATAGTTGGTCCTGGCAGTCGAGGTTTCAGGAGAAGAGCGGACCATCTCCAAGCTGAAAAGCGGACCATCTCCAAGCTCTCACGCAGGCATGCGCTGTAAGGGGAGCTGCCTCCTAGCTACACTATGGGTTAAAGTCACTCCCATCTCCCTGGCTCAAAGCATGACCACAGCTACTTAACATATCTATGAAGCTAGCCAGCAGTTATGAAGCTGGCCAACTACTGATATGCAAAATAACTACCAATGGCCCTGCTTCTTGTGTCTCATCCCCCAGTCCAGACTTGTGGGGGTGGGGATATCCTATATTTTTATATTTTCTGGACACTCGGGGTACTGGACCCTGTTTCAAATCCTTGGTTTCGGGGCCCCTGGCTGCAACCCGTTACAGGCTGAGCAAGAGAGTGGCGAGTGTCAATGGAAGAAATTAGCACCTTTTTCCTTAGGGTAGGTCAACCACTTTGTGTCTCCTATACTGTTT